TGGAATTAAAGACTGAATTATAATGAATATGCATAAATGAACCAATTTAAAGTTGCACAGGCAGGCTTAATTCTGGCATTTTCTAACTTCTGAGTACTTGTTTTAATAACCCTTCTGACAGGTGGTGCTGGCAGTAACAAGGGCCAGGTTTAATATCTAGAGGTTGCTCTTAACATTACAAAACAGAACTGGCTCCAGCCCTCACACAGAAAAACTGGAAAATGAACCACTATCCCTGGGCTGCCTCAAAGAGTCAATAGTCCCCACCTGCAAGCATTAAGTCTGTGTATAACAAAAGAAAACTTTTATTAAGAGGAGAGGGAACATAGGATTAATTTGCGAAAACACTGCGATAGAGATTCTGAAGTAAACAAACAATAAGTAAACCCACCATACAGTATCTTGAGCAGTAGTCCTTTGCCTCAGTTTCCCCCCTTGTGGTGTGAATGTCCTTAAACACACCACTCCCCTTTTCATAGAATCATAGAATATCAGGGTTGGAAGGGACCCCAGAAGGTCATCTAGTCCAACCCCCTGCTCGAAGCAGGACCAATTCCCAGTTAAATCATCCCAGCCAGGGCTTTGTCAAGCCTGACCTTAAAAACCTCTAAGGAAGGAGATTCTACCACCTCCCTAGGTAACGCATTCCAGTGTTTCACCACCCTCTTAGTGAAAAAGTTTTTCCTAATATCCAATCTAAACCTCCCCCACTGCAACTTGAGACCATTACTCCTCGTTCTGTCATCTGCTACCATTGAGAACAGTCTAGAGCCATCCTCCTTGGAACCCCCTTTCAGGTAGTTGAAAGCAGCTATCAAATCCCCCCTCATTCTTCTCTTCTGCAGGCTAAACAATCCCAGCTCCCTCAGCCTCTCCTCATAAGTCATGTGTTCTAGACCCCTAATCATTTTTGTTGTCCTTCGCTGGACTCTCTCCAATTTATCCACATCCTTCTTGTAGTGTGGGGCCCAAAACTGGACACAGTACTCCAGATGAGGCCTCACCAATGTCGAATAGAGGGGAACGATCACGTCCCTCGATCTGCTCGCTATGCCCCTACTTATACATCCCAAAATGCCATTGGCCTTCTTGGCAACAAGGGCACACTGCTGACTCATATCCAGCTTCTCGTCCACTGTCACCCCTAGGTCCTTTTCCGCAGAACTGCTGCCTAGCCATTCGGTCCCTAGTCTGTAGCGGTGCATTGGGTTCTTCCATCCTAAGTGCAGGACCCTGCACTTATCCTTATTGAACCTCATCAGATTTCTTTTGGCCCAATCCTCCAATTTGTCTAGGTCCTTCTGTATCCTATCCCTCCCCTCCAGCGTATCTACCACTCCTCCCAGTTTAGTATCATCCGCAAATTTGCTGGGAGTGCAATCCACACCATCCTCCAGATCATTTATGAAGATATTGAACAAAACCGGCCCCAGGACCGACCCTTGGGGCACTCCACTTGATACCGGCTGCCAACTAGACATGGAGCCATTGATCACTACCCGTTGAGCCCGACAATCTAGCCAGCTTTCTACCCACCTTATAGTGCATTCATCCAGCCCATACTTCCTTAACTTGCATTTCCCTCTGTTGCACCCCACTCTGGTTTGATGTCCCAGGTCAGTGAAGTTCCAGAGTCCAGGGGGTGTTGAGGTGGTACCTGAGCAATGCCAACTTCTGCTCATCTGCTCACCACTGCTACTGCTGGTAAACGTCTCTGCCACCACCTGCAGTAGTCTAAGGTTCCTCCATCTAGCCCAGTGCTTGTGATTTCACTGGGTAACATGGAACCTCATTGGGTTAGACCCACAATAGAGGTCTCCCTACGGGATGGGGAGCAAGCAGATATTAGACACAGTGTTGGTATATAATACTCTAAATGCTCTTTATTGATTACAAAACAAACCTTACTCACTCCACATTCACACCCTAAACATACTAAAGCAGAGTCCAAAGGTCAGAATGATCCTGATGACCAGTCAAAGTACCTTCCATCAGGATAAAATCATGAGATGCGGAGAGCTGGCAAAACCACATCTATATCCACACGGGACTCTGGATCAATAAACGACTCCAATTTGTAGAAATCATAGGCATCCATTTCTAGTTCATTCCGTTGGGTCATCGGTTTTTTGCCTTTGTTTACTAGGCCTTCTATCCGCACAATTCCAAAGAGACAATCTTGGGCGGGCCACCATGATCCAAGGCGTGCCATTTCCTCCAATTCTTATACAATTTTATAATCAGTCTAGCTGGTGTTATTTCCTTTTCTGATGATTTTCCGCATTTGTCTCGAAACATAAGATTGCTTTTGCACAAAGAGTTCTAATAGTCCCTGACCTTAAGTCCTTGCTTCAGTTGCTAACTTGCAATGCATGCATTCATGTCAAGCACGCATAATTCATACCAGGCCTCAATGACATCTTACATGGATATATGAATCACAATGTATATTGATATATATATATCTTTCCCAACAACTGTTGCTGCCATTACCTCCCCTGCATTGTTTTCACCACTGTTTTCAACACTGTCCCCACACCAGGACTATGGCTCAGCCTCAAGACCAGCTTATCAGAGATTTCAGCTCTAGCGATCACTGAGAAGAAACAAGAACTCCCAATTGAATCCTAGCACCTCTCTCTTTAAAGACAGGGTGGGGGGAAATCACATGACATCTAGTACCATTTAAATGAGCCAACAGCACCAACCAGGAACACGTGTTGCCCGCCCCACCCCTGTCTTTCACATGGGTTTGGCATCAATACCCCACACCTAGCAAACAAGGCTAGATTTCAGGTGACTCCCCTCCATTAGGGCATATTAAGTATAGTTTGTTGCCTTTTAGTCAGCCAATAATAACAACATTTTATTACCCTTGAATCCAAAACTTATAATTTTTGATCAACATTGAAAATTGATCACTTTGGCAAAGCAGGCCTCTTTGCTGATCAGAGGCAAGTATGTGTGTCTATGCAAACACAGTCTTCTTCTGAGGGCTTTCTGAGGGCTTTGTCAACAGATGGCAGAGTAGAACACATTCAGTCCACTGGCTTACATCTTTGCAAGCTTAATAATGTTCTTTTTACAGTTTTTTTTGTAATTTAACAGTTTAAAAAAAAAAGAAAATTCCATCATATGGAATCATACTGATGCAAACCTTGGTCACAAGTAGGACTGGAACTTTTAGACCCACTGCCATTTTCTGTCAATTATTCCATTTGTTCAAATGGCAACCTACTACTGCTAGCTGGGGCTTCTCTGACATTTGCTAGCAGTAGGGGAATGTTGAGACCCATGAATCTTGGTTTCCATTCCAGTCTCTGGAGGGGAGCATATCTGAGTGGACACAGACGCTTTTCTCTGGGTCTCCTACAGCCTGTACCCATTCTGTTTCTTACACACATCCCACGCTAGCTCATCATCCAAGTCTCCCCAGCTTCCTCCTTGCATCCTCATACCAGTCCCGGTTCCCACATCTAGTGAGTCCCAGTCTCCACTGCTGGTCTACCTGTCTGAGTCCCAGTCTCCCTATCCCAGTCTCTTCAACCAATCTTCTCCCTGGCTCCTTCTCAGATCTTGTGCTTCCCTCCCCCTACTTGCTCCAAATCCCATTGCACAGCCAAACTATTAACTCCACCACTCTTCCCCTCTTTCCCTCCCCTCTGCCAATTCAGGTATCCTCTGCATTAGAGTCAGGTCGCTTCCACTTTCTTGATGTTCCCTGGGTTCCAGAAGATTGTATCCCTGCTCTTGGTTGCTGTGCCCAGAATCCCAGTGCCCACATCAGCAATTGTAAGGTTTTCTAATCCTTTAATTATTATCATAGCTCTTCTCTGAACTGGAGCTCCTCTCCATTTTATCAACATCCTCCCTGAGGCAGACACCTGGCATGGGAAATTTTCAGTCTAGTGGTTGAAGTTTGGCTGAATTATAAAATTGTTTCTCCCTGTCTAGTCTCAGCTGCCATGCAACCTTCCCCTCCCCTCACCGTCCAGCCTCATGAAGTAGAGGTAGTAGTAGAGGAGAGGGGCAGCCATGTTACGCATCAGAGATAGGTAGTGAAGGTAGGAGAAGAACTTGAGTCTTAATCTGGCCCTGTTTTCCATTGTGGAAATTTCTTCCTTCTCCCCTAATATAATGCTGCTGCTGCTTTTCCTCCAGCTAGATTTTGAATGGACCTGATTCAGGTAGGCATGCTCAAGTCCTTGAGGTGAAATAGACCATTTGTGGGTTGCTCTGGCATTTAGACATCCAGGTGCCTAGAGCGAGACAGCAATGCACATAGCCAGAAAAATTTAGGCATGTAGAGAACTTCAACAGCAGAAATGTAGACACCAGGTGAGTTAGGCACCTACAGCATTCAGCAGCAGCTGAATAGGGTATTGTAAATGTAAGGGGCATGTAAATGCTGGACTTAGGTGTCTAGGTCCTATCTCTTACTTTTTTCTGATCCTCCCCTTACTATGAAGAAGGTTCAAGTATGTGCAATGTCAGGTGATCAGAGGAGAAGGACAGGTGAGGATCCTGGGGTGGAAAACTGAGTGAGGGTCAGGTTTGTGGGAACCTTAGGGAGGGAAACTGAGGCAGGGGGAGAAAAGGCACTGGCTAGGAAGCGAGATGAGGGTGTTTGCTGGTGAGGGAGAAAAAAGTAGAATAAGTAGTGCTTGCTGGAGAAGGAGGGGAGATTAAACATTTGAAAGGAGGAGAAATGGAGGGAATGTTGGAGGATATTTGTAACCTTATGATTACTGAAGAGAATCTGCATTGCTTAAGGTTAGGGGGTTTGTAACATGAAGAATCTGAGTCATGCCTCCCACAACTAAACTGCTGACTGAGTAATCTGACCCTGTGCTTGTACAAGACCTATAGCAGTTGGGCCACTATCTGATTGTGGGCCTTGAGTATTACAGTAATAAAATATAACAAGCAGCAATAAAGCAAAAAAATCTGTGTGAGATGCAGAGCTTCTATGGCGTAACTATTTTTAATTATGTTCCCAGGGGCATTCTTGATCCCATATGTCATAGCACTTGTCTTTGAAGGAATCCCATTGTTTCATCTTGAACTAGCCATGGGACAGCGCTTGAGAAAAGGCAGCATTGGTGTCTGGAATACCATCTCACCTTACTTTGGAGGAGTTGGTAGGTTTCTCCATGTTCTCTGAAAACTAGTTAGCCTATTGTCAAGAGCCATATTAAATATTGACTAGGGAACTGGTTAAGTAACTGAAACAAGTGCCTCAAGCTCCAACCCAGAGCAATACTGGCTCTAGGAAACTAAAGTTTGATCTCCCTGGTCACACTGTCCAGCAGTTCTTACCCATTCACAAGCATACAGGACTGCTCTCTGATATGAAGCCTCAAAACGCTTTTATTTAGGAAACACAAGACAGTTACATAAAATAAAATCAGTCTAGTGGGGACACAGTGGGTTTGTTAAAAATATCTCAAGACCAAGCGATGTGCCCAAGAGAACTCTGCTTGCCTCCCACTAGACCCAACCCCCTTTGGGTCCCTTCCACTCTGTTTGAGGAAAAATAAATGAATTAGGAATTAACCCTGGACAGAGACAAACCATTAATTAAAACAAGGGACCATTTGGGGTCCTTATCAGGAGTCACACAAACCTTCCTCCATCAAAAAATAATAATAGGACAATGTACAAGTCCCCAGCAGTTAAGCATGTAGAGGAATACTCTAACACTATTATGGGTCTGAACAGCCTAGCCCCATCCTGGGTACCTTCTGCAGGCCATTGACACTTGGGTGCAATACTCACAAACAGCCTCCAACATGTAAGTCACTCCCAGCTATGTCTGTGTGTGCTGCAGCCAGCTAGCCACACTTTGGCTCTCACCAGTCTTGGTTATGCTGCAGGGTGACTCCAACACACATCCCGTCCCAGATCTTCCCCCAAAAAAATGTATGTTCTGTACTGCCCAGCCCTCTCCCGAACAGTACAAATATGTTAAGTGCATTATTCCTTTAAGGGAATAATATGCACACAACCTGTTACCCAGACACTTAAACTTGAACACACTGGATTAGATAAAACAGTAAAACAAGTTTATTAATTACAAAGACAGATTTTAAGTGAAAACACGTAATGAGGCATAAAAGCCAGAAATGGGTACAAGAAAAATAAAGATAAAATCCTAAACTGGTGCTGAACTTCAATATTAATTTCAAAGTTCTCACCACATGCTTTCACTGACCAAACTGTCAGGTTAGGACTCCTCCCCCAGAGTCCAACAGCTGTTTCCTTTGTCTCTTCAGGCTTAGTGAATGCAATGGGTGGAGGGAAGGGGGTACCTTGGGTGTTTGTCCTTCCTTTTTATAGTTTCAGTCCCTTTCTTGAAAAAGATTTCCAGCTGAGAACCAGGAGCCAAAGAGTCTATGTGGAAGGATATTCCTTACTGTTTTTTTCACCTGTTTGAACTTTGTCTTCCCTTCCTTCTTGATGAATCTGTTCACTGCTTAAATCGATCAAATTAAAGCAAGCATGTATTCCTTTGTTTAGGACAGACCTGTTTGCAACTTGTGTAGGCAAAGCTATGCGGTTTGGAACATGTGTTAATAAACACCATACAGGGGAATATTATAACTTCATATACAATGTTGCCACACAGATGATACCTCACAATACATGTCTTGTACAAAATTGTTATAGTAATGTGTAGGGTATGAACACATGGGCCTATTCGGTCACACACACACAGTGAAAGACAGCAGCATATTAAGCTACTACCTGTAATGTGAAAAGGAGTACTTGTGACACCTTAGAGACTAACCAATTTATTTGAGCATAAGCTTTCGTAAGCTACAGCTCACGTCATTCGATGCATACCTGTAATGTGTAGACAGCAGCAGAGTGCACCAGAGACATTCCTCTGCATGCAGCACTAAATGGGCACTTTGTGGCATGAATTTCCTCTCACATACACCAATGGAAATCAGGCTTTTCTGGCTTCCACCAAAATAAGTATGGTTCTGCCCACTGATTCCTAGAACATTCCCTCAAGTGTTGGAAGTGATTGGATGGGCAACACCACAATCCTTCAGGCCAAAGATTATCTATTTGTAGCAGGATGGTGAGGAGTGGAATGAAAATGTTTAATTCCATTTGAAGCAAGGAACCTCTGAAATTCTTCAGAACAGAATTTAGGCCCATTGTCACTCATCAACTGTAACAGTAAACCAACCTGGCTAAAACAAGTTACCAAGACTACTGGACATCCTTGTAACTATAGCACAAGTAATTCTGGAAACTTCTGGTTATTCTGAATGGGCGCTGATTACAACCAAAAACATATCACCTTCTAAAGGTCCAGCAAAGTCCACATGAACATGTGTCCAAGGAGTCTGAGGCCACAACCAAGGATGTAGATAAACTGGGCTAGGATCATGCTGAATTTTCTGACACTTAGTAGAGCACTTCGCCTTACTCGCAATATCTTTGTTGATCCTCAGCTACCAGATGTGATTCTGGGTTATGGTCTTCATCCATACAATGGCAAAATGACCTTCCTGAAAAGCTTCCAAAACCTGAGACTGAAGTGATTTCAGAATGATCCCTTGCATTCCGCATCTGATGCGACCGTGATTCACAGATAATTCACATGAGACAAATTGTGTAAACTGGGGATTCTTTTGATCTTGAACAGTGTACATTGCAGTATGAATCCTTTCAGAACAAAAAGCACATCGTCCTTAGTGGTTACTTTGTTGACGTCTATGCTAGTGATAGGTAATTGTAACAGGGTCAGCACCTGCCTCTCATGAGCGTCCCCTTTCTCTGGCTTACAGTGCCTACAGTCTCTCAATTCTTTTCAGCAGGGCGGTACCCACCTCTCATGAGTGCCCCTTTCTGGCCTATCTCAAAGCCCTCAGTAATGTCCTGTAGCCCTTCCCAGGCTCTGGTCCTCAGTTCTGACCAACAGGGCCTCTCTCAGTACCCTAATTGTCCAGCTTACATGTGAAGGTTCCTGCTCGGGGGTTCATCGCCTGCCCTTTAGTCCTCTGACCCCAGCTCTCCAGCTGGGTCAGTCTAGATCAGTCCCCTTCCAGGGGTAAAAAGTTCCATGGACAGTCCTTTCCCTCGGCCGGTCTTCAGTGAGTCCTGGCAGCCAGCCAGAAGCTATTCCCTTGCTTCCCTGGTCCCTGCCATCAACTACCTGCCCTAGCCCTTGCAGCCAGCCAGGAGCACCTCTTGCTCCCCCAGTCTCTGCAAGCAGACTGCCCTCACTCTGGCCCTGCAGCTCCTTTTATATGAGCCTGCTGCGTCCTCACTGGCTGCTTCCTGCAGCCTCTCTGATTGGCTGCTTCCTCTTCAGCCACTTTAGCCCACTTGGAGGGCCTCTCCACTGCTCCTTTCCTGGGATGGGTGAGACAGGACTCCAAGGCCTCCAGTAGGAGGCCTTTGGGCCTAGTCCACCCCATCACAGTAATCTATTCATCAAATTGAGATAGATTACTTTGTCTGAAGTTTCTTTGGGTTGACAGGAGTTTGAGCGTAGCAGTCGCAACAGCCCATCAGCTTTGCCATGCTGAGTCCCATACAGTATAGGATAGAAATGAGTTGAAAGTAGCAATTCTCATCATTGCATATGAGCAGAAGCTAATGACAGAAAGCCAGGTTTTGGTCCAAAAAAATTGAAAGTAACAGGCAACGATCCATCAGCAAGGTAAAATGTCTACCATACAGATTGGTATGGAACTTTCCAAATTCCTAAGATAATGCTGAGAGCTTCTTGCTTTATCTGTGCATAGTTCTTCTCAGGAGTAGTGAATGTTCATTATGCAAAAGCAATTGCTTTCTCCATGCCATTAGGAAAAATGTGGGAAAGAACTGCAGCCACTCCGTGTGGTAAAGCATTACAAGCCAATTTCAATGGTAGTGAAGCATCAAAATGTGTAAGAACTTCAGCTGATGTCAGTTTATTTGCTTCCTTAAATGCACACTCGCACTCTTTAGTCCATTCCCATTTTTTCTTTGCTTGTAACAGTTCATGTAAAGGTGCCATTATCATCAGAATAGGCAGAAATGTACCATAGTAGTTAAGCAGTCCTAAGAATGAATGTAATACTGAAATGTTCTCTGGTGGTGGCGGCACTTCAAGAACTACCTTTTCTTTCTTTCTCTGGTGATTTCCTTAAGCCACTGGCATCAATTACAGGTCCAAGGTATTCAACTGAAGATTTGAAAAACTCACATTTGTTTTGGTATACTCTCAGTCCATGGTATTGCAGTGTTTGAAAGACAGCACCCAAATTTTGAAGATGATCCTTTCCTATAACAAGGATGTCATCCAAAACAGCATTGAACTTCATTCAGCCCTTCAAAATCTCATCTATGGCTTTCTGGAACAGGGCAGGTGCCAATGTGATACTGAAAGGCAACCTGTTGTAAGAAAATAAGCTTTTTTGCATGTGATAGTGAGATATTTGCAAGATACCAGCTCAGCCTACATTTGTAGGTATGCATTGGTATGCAAATCCAATATACTGAAATACTGTCCACCACTAACAAACAAATCTTCAGTAGGAGGCAGTGGACACTGGTCTGCGCATAAAGCCGGATTCCGTGTCACTTCAAAGTCTCCACAAATTCAGACCGAGCCATCCTCCTTGATTACTGGTACAATGGATGTAGCCCACTCACTGTGAAACCAGTGACAGCGATCAATCAACAGTCCAAATCTGCTTCTACCAGAGGCTTCAGAGCATAAGGCACAACTCTGGGCTCTCAATACTTTGGTTGGCTTTCAGAGTTAACAGTAAGCTTCACTGACATGTTGTTCATCTTTCCAAGCTCTTTTTCAAAAACTTCAAAGTATCTGTCCACTATGTGATCATCATCAAGAATGGGGTGTAGCTATTTGATGATATGGGTCCCAGTGTGGGGTGACAGGTGACAACTAGGAGTGTGGAACTATAGAACTACTAACTGTGCTATGTAACCTATCATTTAAATCAACTTCTATATCAGATGACTGGAGGATAGCTAATGTGACACCAATTTTAAAAAAGGCTCCAGAGGCAATCCCAGCCATTACAGGCAGGTAATCCTAACTTCAAATTGGTTGAAACTATAGTAAGGAAGAGAATTATCAGCAACACACAGATGAACATGATTTGTTGGGGAAAATTCAACATGGTTTTTGTAACGGGACATCATGCCTCACCAATCTACTAGAATTCTTTGAGGGGGGTGATCCAGTGGATATAGTGTACTTAGACTGTTAGAAAGCCTTCAACAGGGTCCCTCACCAAAGGCTCTCAGCAAAGTAAGCAGTCATGGTCCCCTCATGGATCAGTAACTGGTTAAAAGATAGTAAACAAAGGGTAGGAATAAATGGTCAGTTTTCAGAAAGGAAAGAAGTAAATAGTGGTATTCCCCAGATGTATGAACAGGGATCAGTTGTGTTCAACATATTCATAAATGATCTTGAAAAGAGGTAAACAGTGAGGTGGCAAAATTTGCACAAGCTACTCATGATAGTTAAGTCCAAAGCAGACTGCGAAGAGTTACAAAGGGACCTCCCAAAACTGAGTGACTGGGCAACAAAATGGCAGATGAAATTCAATGCTGATAAATGCAAAATAATACACATTGGAAAACATAATCCCAACTATATATACACATACACAGAAAGGTGGAATCTAAATTAACTGTTACCACTCAAGAAAGAGCTCTTGGAGTCATTGTGGATATTTTTTTGAAAATATCCATTCATTATGCAGCAGTAGTCAAAAAAAGCTAACAGAATGTTGGGAATCATTAGGAAAGGGATAGATAATAAGACAGAAAATATCATATTGCCTCTATATAAATAGATGGTATGGCCACATGGCGTGCAGATGTGACTGTCCCATCTCAAAAATGATATATTGAAATTGGAAAAGGTACACAGAGAAGAGCAACAAAAGTGATTAGGTGTATGGAACAGCTTCCATATGAGGAGAGATGAATAAGAGTGGGACTTTTCAGCTTGGAAAAAAGAAGACTAAAGGGGGATATGATAGAGGTCTATAAAATCATGACTTGTGTGGAGAAAGTAAATAAGGTTTAAAACAAACAAAAGGAAGTATTGCTTCACACAATGCAGTCAACCTGTGGAACTCTTTGCCAGAGGATGCTGTGAAGGCCAAGACTATAAGAGGGTTCAAAAAGAACTAGATAAATTCATGGAGGATAGGTCCATCAATGACTATTAGCCAGGATGGACAGGGATGGTGTCCCTAGCCTCTGTTTGCCAGAAGCTGGGAATGGGTGAAAGGGGTTGGCTCACTTGATGATCACCTGGTCTGTTCTTTCCCTCTGAAGCACCTGGTATTGGCCACTGTCAGAAGACAGGATACTGAGCTAGACGGACCCTTAGTCTGACACAGTATGGCCATTCTTATGTTCTCCCAGGCTGCAAAAGCCAGCTGACACTCCTGTAGAGCCCTACATTACTGCTTCAGCTTCCTTCTGAGTCCACTCACCCGCCTCCCCACTTCTTTTCTATGGCTCTCCTCCTGTTCCATAGCTGTAAGATGAAGCTAGGTGTTCCTGCACTAGAAAACACTCTTGGTCCCACTCATCACTGAGGGAACCTTGAGATCATAGAATATCAGGGTTGGAAGGGACCTCAGGAGGTCATCTAGTCCAACCCCCTGCTCAAAGCAGGACCAATCCCCAATTAAATCATCCCAGCCAGGGCTTTGTCAAGCCTGACCTTAAAAACTTCTAAGGAAGGAGATTCTACCACCTCTCTAGGTAACGTATTCCAGTGTTTCACCACCCTCCTAGTGAAAAGGTTTTTCCTAATATCCAACCTAAACCTCCCCCACTGCAACTTGAGACCATTACTCCTTGTCCTGTCCTCTTCTACCACTGAGAATAGTCTAGAACCATCCTCTCTGGAACCACCTCTCAGGTAGTTGAAAGCAGCTATCAAATCCCCCTCATTCTTCTCTTCTGCAGACTAAACAATCCCAGCTCCCTCAGCCTCTCCTCATAAGTCATGTGTTCCAGACCCCTAATCATTTTTGTTGCCCTTCACTGGACTCTCTCCAATTTATCCACATCCTTCTTGTAGTGTGGGGCCCAAAACTGGACACAGTACTCCAGATGAGGCCTCACCAATGTCGAATAGAGGGGGACGATCACGTCCCTCGATCTGCTCGCTATGCCCCTACTTATACATTCCAAAATGCCATTGGCCTTCTTGGCAACAAGGGCACACTGCTGACTCATATCCAGCTTCTCGTCCACTGTCACCCCTAGGTCCTTTTCCACAGAACTGCTTCCTAGCCATTCGGTCCCTAGGCTGTAGCTGTGCATTGGGTTCTTCTGTCCTAAGTGCAGGACCCTGCACTTATCCTTATTGAACCTCATCAGATTTCTTTTGGCCCAATCCTCCAATTTGTCTAGGTCCCTCTGTATCCTATCCCTGCCCTCCAGCGTATCTACCACTCCTCCCAGTTTAGTATCATCTGCAAATTTGCTGAGAGTGCAATCCACACCATCCTCCAGATCATTTATGAAGATATTGAACAAAACCGGCCCCAGGACCGACCCCTGGGGCACTCCACTTGACACCGGCTGCCAACTAGACATAGAGCCATTGATCACTACCTGTTGATGATGATGGGGGCTGTTCTTGCACCTGCATCTTAAAAGAAAAGTTAAACTATCTGCTGTACCATCAAGTGTTGTGGGTAGCTGTGGTAGTAGGGCCAGGGACCTGAGGTTTGTGCTCTTCCTCTCCCTCACGCATTTGGAGTACCTCTACCTCCTCAGGACTCCTGTACAAAAGTTGATTCCATAGAATTGCTGCACTGTCACCGCAACCCACTCATATGTGAACACCTCATAGTCCTCTGCACAGGGGCAGCAGCAAACTATACCTGGTTTCCCCACTGCTATTGTGAAATGCTATCATGCATGAGAGTTCAATGTTCTGGCCTTCACCCTGCCCCTTCTTCTGATCACCTGAATCTACATTTTCCCCATACCCTTAAACTCTTCCACCCCCTTTTCCACCTCTTTTCTCCTCCACCCTTTTCATTTTAGATTAAGATATTTGTTATAATCCCATCTCCTTCCACAGTCCTTTCTTTCCTTCACTATCACAGAATGTTAAGGACAAAGTGGCCACTCTTGTACTGCTCCCTGAATTTGAAATGTTATCCTAGCACTTTCACTCCCAGGGGAGGAGGTTTCCTGTCTGTGCTGTTGAGTAATTGTCATCTTGGTTCTATTCAGGGGAAGAGACCATCACAGCTGACCTAGACTGTTTTTAAAACCACCAAAGGGGAAAAACAAACAAAAACACTCACACAAAAACGAGAGATTAGGGCAAATGCAGTAGCAGGAGTGGCATAAATTTGTTGGGTAAAGTAAATAAGTGTTCTGACAGCTTATTTAAGCAATTTGTTTAAACTGAAATTTTTTTGTATTCAATAGGTATTGGTTCATTGATGGTGTCATTCATTGTGAGCTTATATTATAACACCATTTTAACCTGGGTGATGTGGTATTTCATTAACTCCTTCCAAGAGCCCCTTCCTTGGAGTGCTTGCCCACTAAATGGGAACAGAACAGGTAATTAATATTTCAAGTCTCTTGTTGGTGTTAAGGTTGCAAAGTGTTACCAACTCTTTTTTATTCCTATAATATGGCATTAAGTCCTACTGTACAGATTTTTTAAATGGCTCATTTTAAAATCTTCTCTTTGAACTAGGGCTGTCAAGTGATTAAAAAAATTGTGATTAATTGCACGGTTAAAGAATAATAGAATACCAATTATTTAAATATTTTTGGATGTTTTCTACATTTTCAAATATATTGATTTCAACTATCACACAGACTATGAAGTGAACAGTGCTCACTTTATATTATTTTTAATTACAAATATTTGCACAGTAAAAAAATAGTATTTTTCAATTCACCTAATACAAATGATGAAATGCAATCTCTTTATCATAAAAAGTTGATCTTACAATTCTAGAAATATGTACAAAAAATAACTGCACTCAAAAATAAAACAATGCAAAACTTTACAGCCCACAAGTCCACTCAATCCTACTTCTTGTTCAGCCAATCGCTCAGACAATCAAGTTTGTTTACATTTGCAGGAGATAATGCTGTCCGCTTCTTGTTTACAATGTCATCTGAAAGTGACAACAGGTGTTTGTATGGCACTGTTGTAGCTGGTTTTCAAGGTTCCTTCCCCACTCTGAACTCTAGGGTACAGATGTGGGGACCTGCATTAAAGACCCCCTGTCATAAATATAAAGGGAAGGGTAAACCCCTTTAAAATCCCTCCTGGCCAGAGGAAAAATCCTCTCACCTGTAAAGGGTTAAGAAGCTAAAGGTAACCTCGCTGGTACCTGACCAAAATGACCAATGAGGAGACAAGATACTTTCAAAAGCTGGGAGGAGGGAGAGAAACAAAGGGTTTGTGTCTGTCTGTATGCTGCTTTTGCCAGGGATAGACCAGGAATGGAGTCTTAGAACTTTTAGTAAGTAATCTAGCTAGGTATGTGTTAGATTATGATTTCTTTAAATGGCTGAGAAAAGAACTATGCTGAATAGAATGACTATTCCTGTCTGTGTACCTTTTTTGTAACTTAAGGTTTTGCCTAGAGGGATTCTCTATGTTTTGAATCTAATTACCCTGTAAGGTATCTACCATCCTGATTTTACAGAGGTGATTCCTTTACTTCTATTAAAAGTCTTCTTGTAAGAAAACTGAATGCTTTATTATTCTCAGATCCAAGGGTTTGGGACTGTGGTCACCTATGCAAATTGGTGAGGATTTTTGCCAAACCTTTCCCAGGAAGTGGGGTGCAAGGGTTGGGAGGATTTTGGGGGGGGAAAGATGTGTCCAAACTACGTTTCCCAGTAAACCCAGTTAGAGTTTGGTGGTGACAGTGGAAATCCAGGGTCAAAGGATAAAATTGATTTGTACCTTGGGGAAGTTTTAACCTAAGCTGGTGAAAGTAAGCTTAGGAGGTTTTTATGCAGGTCCCCACATCTGTACCCTAGAGTTCAGAGTGGGGGAGGAACCTTGATACCCCCAAGCTTATTCTTACCAGCTTAGGTTTAAAAACTTCCCCAAGGTACAAACTTTGCCTTGTCCTTGAACAGTATGCTGCCACCACCAAGCGTTTTAAACAAAAGAACAGGGAAAGAGCCCACTTGGAGACGTCTTCCCCCAAAATATCCCCCCAAACCCTACACCTCCTTTCCTGGGGAAGGCTTGATCAGAATACTCACCAATTTGTACAGATGAACACAGACCCAAACCCTTGGATCCTAAGAACAATGAAAAAAATCAATCAGGTTCTTAAAAGAAGAATTTTAATTAAAGAAAAAGGTAAAAGAATCACCTCTGTAAAATCAGGATGGTAAATACCTTACAGGGTAATTAGATTCAAAACATAGAGTATCCCTCTAGGCAAAACCTTAAGTTACAAAAAGACTCAACAACAGGAACATACATTCCCTCCAGCACAGCTTATTTTACCAGCCATTAAACAAAATGAAATCTAATGCATTTCTAGGTAGATTTCTTCTTCCTGGTAAGTAAGTAAGTAAAGGAGTACTTGTGGCACCTTAGAGATTAACCAATTTATTTGAGCATAAGCTTTCGTGAGCTACAGCTCGCTTCATCGGATGCTGTAGCTCACGAAAGCTTATGCTCAAATAAATTGGTTAGTCTCTAAGGTGCCACAAGTACTTCTTTTCTTTTTGCGAATACAGACTAACACGGCTGTTACTCTGAAACGTAACTTAACAGGAGTTGTAAGGCTGCATTCCTGATCTGTTCCCGGCAAAAGCATCACACAGACAGACCCTTTGTTCCCCTCCTCCAGATTTGAAAGTATCTTGTCCCCTCATTGGTCATTTTGGGTCAGGTGCAAGTGAGGTTATCTTAGCTTCTTAACCCTTTACAGGTGAAAGGGTTTTGCCTCTGGCCAGGAGGGATTTTATAGCACTGTATACAGAAAGGTGGTTACCTTCCATTGATATTTATGACACTGGTGTAGCAAGATATTTATGTCCCAGATGCACTAAAGATTCATATGTCCCTTCATACTTCAACAATTCCAGAAGATATGCATCCATGCCGATGACGGGATCTGCATGTTCATTTTCATCATCTGATTCACATGCCACCAGCAGAAAGTTGATTTTTTTTTTTGGTGGTTCAGTTCTGTAGTTTCTGCATTGGAGTGTTGCTCTTTTAAGATTTCAGAAAGCATGCTCCACACCTCATCTCGCTCTGATTTTGGAAGGCACTTCAGATTCTTAAACCTGGGGTCGAGTGCTGTAGCTATCTTTAGAAATCTCACATTGGTACCTATGTGTTTTGCCAAATCTGCAGTGAAAGTGTTCTTAAAAACGAACATGTGCTGGGTCATCATCGGAGATTGCTATAACATCAAATATATGGCAGAATGTGGTTAAAATAGAGCAGGAGACATACAATTCTCCCCCAAGGAGTTCAGTCACAAATTTAATTAATTCATTCTTTTTTAAAAATGAGTGTCATCATCATTGAAGTATGTCCTCTGGAATGTTGGCCAAAGCATGAAGGGGCATACGAATGTTTAGCATATTTGGCACATAAATACCTTGCAATGCCAGCTACAAAAGTGCCATGCAAATCATAGAATATTAGGGTTGGAGGAGACCTCAGGAGGTCATCTAGTCCAGCCCCCAGATCAAAGCAGGACCAGCACCAACTAAATCATCCTAGCCAGGGCTTTGTCAAGCCAGGCCTTAAAAACCTCTAAAGATGGAGATTCCACCACCTCACTAGGTAACCCATTCCAGTGTTTCACCACCCTCCTAGTGAAACAGTGTTTCCTAATGTCCAACCTAGACCTCCCCCACTGCAACTTGAGACCATTGCTTCTTGGTCTGTCATCTGCCACCACTGAGAACAGCCTAGCTCCATCCTCTTTGGAACCCCCCCTTCGGGTAATTGAAGGCTGCTATCAAATCCCCCCTCACCCTTCTCTTCTGCACACTAACAATGCTTCACATGGGGAGACAAGCTGCTAGTGGGCATTGTCTTATGACTGTAGGATCACAACCAGGAAAGCTGTTAAGCACTGGGAGAAAGACTTTGGAGTGAGCTATGCTTTTAGATGAGAGTGTATCTTGTTACTTAAGTCTAGGTTTTAGAATGTATTTAATGATTTTGTTTAATATATAACCATTTGTTTCCATTATTTCAACTTACCATTTGAATCTCTATTCCTCATTAAACTTTTGCTTGTTTTTTCTATAAACATATCTAAGTGCTATGTGTTAAGCAGAGCTGTGACCTAAGGTGTAACAGATAACCTGATTTATAGTGTTCCTTTGAGAGCAGAATATCTGTGTCTGTGAACACTGAGTGGATCAGGGGCTGGGCACTCCAGGGGGATGTTTGGTGGCTTTGGGGCTTGGAGTGTTCCTATCACTAACCTACAGAGGGATAGTGGAGCCTCTGCAGTTTGAGAGGAGAGTGATTGTGTTGTCTGTGGCCAGTGGAGGTGAGGAGCTGACATCCAGCAGACACAGTAAAGGCTCTCTCATGCTATAGGGAGGTGATAACAAGGTGCCTCATAACCTTGGGTGCTCCCAGGAAGCATCACAGAGAGCCACCTTTTGAAAAAGAAATTTAAAAATTTTTTCACCCAAACATGACAAACAAAAAAGAGGTGATAGTTTAACAGTCTCAACTTCAGATTTCAAACACCTAGCATTCCTGGAACCACCTCAGTGGTACTGACTAAACCCATTATCCTACTGAGTTAGATCAGAGTACCATGCAGTTTGCTGTCTATGGGTCTTTAAGAGAAGACCTGGACAACTAGTATCTTATTTGGATAAGAAAGACATTAAAAACACCTTGGCACTTTTTGTAAGAGGAAGGAATTTTCCCCAATGTTCTTCAACAAAATGTTTCCATCCCCACTGTTGTGTAAGATGCTGTGTACTGGTTGCCTTCCACACTCCATCTCCTGGAGCTAGCTGAATTTCAGTAGTGCTATACTTTACAGTTTGTGAAGTGCTTTGGGATTTCTTGGATTATTCCAGATCCCAGATGTATAGAAACTGAATAGGTCATGAAAGGGTTGATCTAGTTTTCCAGAGTGACAAATTCCTGAGATCAGATGTTCTGACTTAAAATAAATAAATATCATAATCACAGACTTTAAGGTCAGAAGGGACCATTATGATCGTCTAGTCTGACCTCCTGCACAACGCAGGCCACAGAATCTCTCCCACCCACTCCTGTAACAAACCCCTAACCTATGTCTGAGCTATTGAAGTCCTCAGATTGTGGTTTAAAGACTTCAAGGTGCAGAGAATCCTCCAGCAAGTGACCAGTGCCCCAGCAAGTGATTCCTGCCAATCTGCCCTGGAGGAAAGTTCCTTCCCAACCCCAAATATGGCGATCAGCTAAACCCTGAGCACGTGGGCAAGACTCACTAGCCAGACACCCAGGAAAGAATTCTCTGCAGGAACTCAGATCCCACCCCATCTAACATCCCATCACAGACCATTGGGCACATTTACCGCTAATAGCTGACGATCAATTA